CCCAGACACTGCAGGAAATGCCCCCACGGCCCCTGTGCAGGCCCTTAGTGGCCTTCAGCCTCTGTCCTCTCCCAGTTCCCTGCTCCTTAGACAGGACAGACAGACCCCCTGAGCCTTCCTCCAGCCCCAGCATCTCCCACACCCAGGCCTCCCTGCTCCCGGCCTTACTCGCTCCCTCCCTGGCTCCCAAGCCCCCTTCTATACCTCCTGATCACCAGCGCTACCCTGCCCTAGTCAGGCCTAGCCAGGGTATCCCTGAGCAGTCGGGAGCCGTTGGTTTTTCAACATTCTGAGTAACATGCAGGTTGAGGCTCCGGGAATCACAGGACTGTGGTCAAGGAAGGTCTGCAACAGGGGTGGGCAAAAGGGCCTCCGTGGGCCGGATCTAGCCCACCAAGCAGGTTGATCTGGCCCGTGAAGGCCCTGCCGCTCCCCCCACCCTGAGGGCCTGGGGGCAGGGGGAAGCGCACAAAGTTTCCTCCGCCCTGCCGGGAGCACGTGGTACTTCGAAGCGCCATGAGCTCCTGACGGGGCAGGAGGAGACTTCGTGCGCTTCCCCCCACCCCCAAGCCCCAGGTCTCTTCCCACCGCCAGGGGCATGGGTGCTTAGTGGGAAGGGAGGGGCAAAGGGGCTCCCCAACCCCAGACCAATCATGGTCTGTGGGTGGGGCAGCCAGAAGCATCGTGGCTCCACCCCTTCCATTTGAGGCCCCGCCCCTTCCCATGAGGCCCAGGAATTTTTGAAGTGGCCCCCGGCAAAAAACGATTGCCTACCCTTGGTCTACAGAGATCACAGGACTGTGGTCAAGGAAGGTGGCCACAGCCAGAGGGACCCTTTCGAAACTGAGGCAGAGTGCGAGGGTGAAGCCTGACTTGGTGCATGGATGGACTTATGGGGCGGCTGCTCAAATGTGTGATGCTCAAGCCAGACCTTGAGCAGCGGCACCTAAGGTGATGGGGACCCAGATCTTCAGTGGGGCTCAGATCAGGCGCAGGGCTGCTTTTGCGTGGCCCCTCTCTTGTCCATGGCAAGAGCAGAGATGTGTGTGTCCAGCCCCCAGTGGTGACCAGGGTCGGAAGGAGTCGAGCTGGGCCAAGAAGGCCCCGTCTCACCAATACTCCAAACGGGGCTCTGGCCATCGGACAGGGGAGGAGCGTGCAGAGGCCGACAGAAGGGAGACGGCCAGTTTGCAGCTTGGGGGAAAAGCACACCCCAGGAGAGGGCTGGGGAGGACCCAGCTGGGAGGGAGGCTGTCGGGAGTCTGGAAAGGGAGCTGGGAATGCATGTTGTGGCAGACTGCGGTGCTGGGCCTGGTTGTGACTCTGGGGCAGGGGTGCCCAAACTTTTTTCAAAGAGGGCCAGATTTGATGAAGTGAACAAGCGTGAGGGCCGACCATTTTGCCTGACATTCTTTGAACCATTAAAATTAAATGCAAATTAACTATTTTATGCAAAGTTTATTGCAAACGGCATACTTTTCATTTCGTCACATAGATGACAAATCTAAACAGGTGTTAAATCACTCTGCCTTTCATATCTGAAGGCCAGATGAAAAAAAATCCAGGAAGCTGAAATATATGTCAGGAACATTGTAAAGTACATTACATATTATTGGTAATAAAGGTTGTCTGTCAACTTTTAAGTTCAAAAAATATGAACAGGAACATAACACCAAGTATACATGTTGTGTCCAAATATATTTATAACTGATTTAGACCAACTGACATTAACTGAGATTTTACAATGTATTCATCTCAATACATATGGATTCGTTGGGGGCCATAAAAGATAGATATTGCCAAATTACCTGTGGGGCCGTATTAAACTGGAACACGGGCCGCAATTGGCCCCCGGGCCGGACTTTGGACATGCCTGCTCTGGGGGGTGAGTGGCTGCAACTTCCCCCCAATCTGAAGAGTGCAAGGAGGCGGGGTGTGCTCCTGCCCCGCTGGGGATCAGCTGACAGCTGCCCCAGGAAGAAGTGGCTCACACTCCAGGCTTGTCCTCGTAGAGCCCTGGGCTGAGACCAGTGGAGAGGAAAGGGGCCAGTTCCCCTCTTGGGGCCTGTCTCCCTCCCTCCCACCTCTCTTTCCATCGGGGAGAACGCCAGAGCTCTGGGGACTGATGGGCCGG